TGGATGCCCCATCCTTGGAAGTGTCCAAGGCCAGGCTGGATGAGGCCTGGACTCCCTTTCCACTTGAGAAAAGCCTCCCTCCAACTTTCTTGTAGCCCCCCTTCAAATACATTTCAGAATCAAGTTCCTCTTCACATACCTCAGTGCAGATACCAGAAATTCCAGGAAGGAGTTTGTTAAAATGAACTGAAAACAACTAGGTACAGAGCATGGGCCTGGAAGCCTCAGCACACCCCAGCGGAATGTCCTGCACTTTGTAACAGATTTTTGCCCTAGTCAAAGGCATCTCCTTTGAATACACAGAGAAATGCAGCCACTTGTCCAAGATCACACACAGGAATTAAACCAATGCTGTAACCTTCTATTATCTGCCTCTGAGACGCTTCTCTCCTCTCCACTTTCTATAGGGAGCGCCTCCCAGCCATATTTTTCAAATTCCAGTTCAGGAACGTGGAATACAGCTCAGGCAGGAACAAAACCTTCCTGTGTTACGTTGTCGAGACCCAAGGCAAAGAGTCAGTGACTTCTCGGGGTTACCTGGAAGACGAGCACGCGGCCGCCCACGCAGAAATGGCTTTCTTCAACACAATTTTACCGAAGTGTGAATCAAGCCTCCGCTACAACGTCACCTGGTATGTCTCCTCCAGTCCCTGCGTGACCTGCGCCGATCGGATAACCGAGACCCTGAAGAAGAACAAGAACCTGCGTCTGACAATCATGGTAGGGCGCCTCTTCATGTGGGAAGAGCCAGAAATGCAGGCTGCCCTGAAAAAAATGAAGTCAGCCGGCTGCAAGCTGAGGATTATGAAGCCTCAAGACTTTGAATATGTCTGGCAGAACTTTGTGGAACAGGAGGAAGGAGAGGAAGCAAAGTCTTTCGTGCCATGGGAGGACATTCAAGAGAACTTCCAGTATTACGAGGAAAAGCTGGCTGAGATTTTGCACTGAAGCTCATGTGAGTAATGGATTTCCACTCTCCTCGTATTAGCGTTACAGGCTCCTCTGTTTTATTTCAGGCTGTTAAAGGTGTAGCCCACAGCCCATCTCAGTTACTGTTACTCTCATACCTACCCGGCAGGGTTTGCCTGTCCCTGAATACTGAAAATAATCCTAAGCAGTACCTTACCCCTTCAAAGGTACTAACACTACAGCGGGCTCCTCCACAGGTGACCCGTCAGGGATTTAGAGCTGGTTTTGTCTCCTCAGAGTAAACACTTCCAAGAATAAAAAAAACAGGTATGAGGGTCACCAGGTGCAACAGGAATACCTCCTCATTCCCCACACGTGTGATACTCAGGACACATGGAAACAGTGAGAAAAGGGGATTTCCCTCACCCCCCTAAAGTCTAACCCTCTAGAAAAAAACCCACCACTACAGGAAATCAGTTATCATTGCAGAATTCTCTTCTTTTTTGTTAAGGGGTACTAAAGAGCCACCTGTTTAAGCCATGAAACATGAAAGCATTTAAAGCTTCTCTCTCTTTCCTTACCCAGGACCATTTCAGAAAACATCTATGAAGAAAGATGCAACAGAGTTGGGCCATCTGGGACACTCCCATGTCCCAAAGCTTTGATTCCAGCAGGATGGAGTACCCACTTCCAGAAGACGAGGCCCTGAGGGACTATGAATACATACATAACCCGGCTCTTTGGTGTTTGGGATATTTTTTTTTTTCTTGGTTTATTTTGTTCCTCCCTCCCCTGCCCCAAAACCAACCCATGCTGCCTCTGCTGACAGGGAGAAAGACAGCGACATACCGTGCGGTTAAAGCCTTGACTGAAACCAGACCCGGCCTCGCATACTGGGGCTGCCTTATCAGAAAGATCTTAGAAATAAGCTGTCAATTAGATAACGTGTACGTAAGTTTAACATACTCCATAAATGTTAAAAAGAAAGGGATTTCAGATGAAAAAGAGGTTTTCTTCCTCCGTCCTCCTCAATAATCAGAGCTGTGATTTAAATTAGGGCGAACTGGTCTATTCTAAATAACGATGGAGCCCTAAGTACTTGATTCCAAACACACCAAATACCTTCTCCCCTTGTTCAGCGATGTGATAGAAAACTGGGAAATGCAAAGCAAAATAAAATTGGAAGTCACTGCAAAAGCCTACAGCACTGTTTATTCCTTCTCTATTTGCAAGAGGTCCTAAATTTAATCTGACAAGCCAGACATCCCGGGACAGCCACGTATGAAATATTTCATAGCTGAAGTGCAGCGTGATGAGAAGGGAGAAGTACAACATGCCAAAAAAATTTCAGGAGTACATACAAGTGTGGGAGACAGAGAATATGGGTATATCACTTTCCATGCAGAACAAGGCACAGACCCAACGAGGGTCACAGGGACACTCATCAGCTAAGAAACGGAGTCAGGAAGGTTCACTCTTCCCAGTGGCTTCTCCTGCACTGTCTCAAGCTGGAGCAGTGCCAGACACACACACAAACTGCTGACGGCACCCGTCTCCCACCTCAGCCAACTGCACTAAGTTCTGGCACAAAGTTTCAAGGCAGAAAAAACAAGCAGGAGTGAGAACACCTCTGCGGAGCCACTGTGGATTTCATTCCTCTGCCTCTAGATTTAAAAACCAAACATAAAGAAGCATAAGGACTACAGCAGTGAGCAGCCTTGATGTCCACTCTTCATCAACTCAACACGCCAAGTTCCTATTCGTCCTGTTGAGTTTATTTTTTAAACTATTCTTATATTCCTGCCGAGTTTATTTTCTTCCCTAGTTGTGTATTTAGCTACAGCAATTACCCACCAAAATCAGCTTTACAGAGGACGGCCAACAAACAGGGAGAGTAACAATACGAAGCTCTTAAGGATCAAACAGGATTTGCATATCTGCATCAAAGAAACCACACAAAACAGGTTAACTCACAACACTCGGAACAGACAACACTCCACCCATTCAATTCATTGCGAAAACCAGTCAGGAACCCCCAGTCATGCTACAAACTTTTCGACTGTTATGTCCCATCTTTTGGGTTTATTCAACATATCTGACATTTTTCGGGGCATTCAGAAAGAGGGAAGGCAAAAAGATTTGTTATTGGGGGGCAGGGGGGAGAGGAAAACAAAGGAAACATGCAGTACATGACAGTTCCTCAGTACTGGAATCAAACTTTCAAAAATCAGGTGTTTACCACTGAACTGTGATTTGGCTTTACTACTGGTGACATCAAGCACCGACCTACATACAACAGCTCAACTACAAATGCAGTAAACAACAGGAATTTGAAAAGCCAACCTTAAACCCCACACTGTGACTTTTTACAGCAAATCCGTCACTCACATGTAAAGATTCTCAGCAAACTGAGTTCTGCAGACCGTGTGGTACAGAACGCACCCAAACACCTCCAGCCCCCCTTCACAACACAGCTGTCCTACAGAGTGCCACACGGCACACAGTGGGCTTCTTTTCCACAAGGACCGTGCTCCCATCTGAGAGCAGAGCATCGCAGAGCTCTATTTCACGCTGCCAGCATGATTCTTAGGGAGCACAACCTCAAAACGAAAGAAATTCTGTTTGTGGCCAGAAGGTAGAAATTAAATTTTTAATCCTGTAATGAACAGAGTCTCCGTACCACACAGGAACATTGCAAAACTTCAAAAAAAAAAAAGTGTCAGGGCTCCACAGCTCATCATTATCAACCGTAACTACAACCCAACAAATACCTAAGCAACAGACAGCTCCTATTTCACTCTGCACAGGAACTGTCAGATTTAGAAGCTCTATAGTGCAGGCAGGTGCTCCGTGGAGGACCAGTGACATCTGGTGGCTTGCTGGGACTGACTGGGAACTCCCAGAGGGCTACCACAACATTCCTGCCTTCTTCAGGGGCTGCCAAATTAGCTGCTCTGGAACTTTGTAGTGCTGTTCTTAAAAGCCACTGCCAACACAAGAGCGAGCTACGCTCAGTAGAAGGTGCGCAGCATGCAGTGTCCTTCCTCATCAGTTAACAGGTTTCCACTCCTGAAAGCCAGGGAAACGGGGCTCACTTTAAACTCTTGTCACAGAGAGTAAACCGTGATCTTTATATCTGTGTCTTCAAACACCTCCCCCAGTATTGCTGAAACTTTATTCCAATCCAGGCGGTCGAGTCCACAGCCAATCCTGGAAAATAAAGACATCAAAAACTGCTGTAACGGCCTGTTCTGGGGCATGCGATGCACAACCAGCCTTTCAAGCAGCTACAATTTTAGGTGGCACCGAGCTCACCATAAATCAACATAATGCTGTAAAAATAAGGAAACAACCAAGCCTGTACGTTTTGCTGTCCTTCAAAACCACCAGGGAAGGCCAATTTCATTGCACAACCAACCAGAAGAGTTGAACAGAAGCAGATACTTCAACTCTTATTTCAGAGCAGAGGATCATCCCTCATACATCCTTCTACGCACGAAACGCTTAAGTACTTACGCCGCAGTAACTCCATTTCTTACCTAGGCATGGAAATGTCAGTAACCCCGTTGTTCAGACAGTGAGTTTTCATGGCTTCTAAACTCTTTCGCATATTCTCGTAAGTTGGCTTGTGAGAAACCTTCTTCTTTGTAATCTAAGTATAAAGGTCAAAGGTCAGCTGTGCCTCAGGCGCAATCACAGCAAACCATTTTCTGTTTTAAAAAACACATTCCACGATGCTCTGCAACTCCACACTCAGACTTGCTACAGCGAAGGGAAAAAGACCGATGTTTCACAGCTTAAAATAGTATCATTTAGCAGCTAATTCTGTCAATTTAAAGCTTAAACATACAAACACAAGAGAGCTTGACTTCTCCTTGACTAGCAAGATTTGAGTAATACACCTCATGCTTCTTAATTAGAAGAAACACAAAAAACACACAGATACTAAAGCCATCATCATCATATCTAACCTAACCAACCCTGTTTAGTTACAGGGAAGTGCATGAGCAACGTCCCACTCTTACCAGGTAGTAAACGTATCGGTCGTCTCTTTGGAGAACGGCCACCTCCCCAGTCTTCTTTTCTAAAGTGAAAAAACGAAGAAGGTGTTTTTAAAACGCTTTCACTCCACTCCACAACCCCCCGCCTTGCACCCCAAGTAGCCTGGAATACCCTTACTGCTGGAAATCAGTGTTTTCCCTTCAGCTCCTGTATGTGCACCCCACGTGTATCACTCACGTTGATCTAACAGCTCTTGTACGCCTCCAAACTTTTTCTTAAAAAGAACAGCTATGCCTGCACCCATGCGACAGTCCTCGCTGATGCAGTGAGCCAATGAGTCCGTCTGGGGGCAGGAGAAAAGGTCCCCCTTAACACACTTGATCTGGAAAACAGCACAGAGAGATAAATAAAAATAAGCTGAGTGCAGATGGAGATAATAGTCATGTAGCAGGGAACCTGGCAAGCCTGCACAGTAAAGAGTGTAAGGCGTTGAATTTAAGATGCAGTTCACAAGTAAATGAGTTGGCACGAATTACGAACCCGACACGCAGATAACAATCTTTTCTACAAGATCAGTTATAACGTGCCAGCTCAGTGGCTAATTATACACCACGCGTGCTTAAAAAGGAAAATTACATACTAGAGTACAACTGGATTAGTGCTCATCCCCAGCACGCTGCCAGTGTGTCAGTGCTGGATATCCCTGTTTCGTTAGGCAGGTAAGCCCTGTGCTGCTGAACACTGTCTGTATGACTGACATAAGCACAAAAGCACACAAAATTTAGCAGCATCAGCCACTTTTCTCCAAAACGCTACACACTACAGCCAGCTGCCATGTTATTAGAGGGACAGGAAGGTTTCTTGAGAGACATGCATCACAGAAATAGCCCACATAACCCATTTTCTACGCACTCTCTCCTCCTGATCCTTGGAGAAGCTTGTGGCCATGGTAACGTGGGCTATGGTGAAGACTTCTGTGGCTGTAAAGATGGCAGAGAAAGAAAAGCAGAGTTATTAGGAATCCCAAACCAGGCAATAAGCTGGCGGGTCAGGCGGTGCAAGGCTGACCCTCCTTCATCTATGGGACAGTTGGGACAACTAAGACACCTCCTTAAAATAGAAGAGGAGGTGGCTAACACCCCTGAATAGTGTGGGGCAATGTTTCCTGCTGCAGCCCCACAGCTCCAACCCGGGAGGTGCAAGCAGGCCCCAGGCTAGGGTCACCACAGGCCTTCCCTCCTCCGCCTAGGCACC